GTGGGATGGGTTGGACACAGATATGATATGATTTTTAATGTTCAAATATTGTAAGTTGCAATATCTTGGGCCTAGGGTTTTTGAAGGAGCTAATAGTGTTTAATTTTTATCAGGTCAAGTGTTTCAATGCTCCGCTACAACCTTCTGAGATAGTTGGTGTTAAGAAGGTTGTGGAAGAAAAGTTGCCTGGTGGAGGAGTCAATGATAGGGGAGTCAATGAACGTGGCCTTACACTGACAGGATTCCTCTTTCTCCATGCATTATTCATAGAAAAAGGGCGCCTTGAGACAACTTGGACGGTCCTAAGGAAATTTGGGTACAACAATGATATCAAACTTACTGATGAACTAATTCCCTCATTCAAACGTGCTCCTGATCAGGTAATACAGGTTGACCATTCATGCATTATAGTTAATCTTATTAGGTGGTAAAAGTTTGAAGAGTTCCATGGGTTTAAACTAGCCAATATGTTTCTAGTCTAGCATCTACTCTTTCTTTTGGCTTGTGTTTTTGGACATTTAATTAATTCTGCACTTGATGCATCAAAATAGCATACACAGTAGCACGCTGTAGTTTACAATATTCAAATCTATAATGCATGCTGTAGTTTTTTTTTCCTAGGATGTTGATCATCCCTGGGCGCAAGACATTAGCTAATATAATATACTTGGTTTTTTTAACTGACCAGGGGTGGAAGAAGGTATTTTCTAAGCTTAGTTCCTTACAAGGAGTTTCATGAAAAAGGATTTATTTGATGGTCATTTGATGGTCTGTTTGCAGTATCCATTGTTTGTATCAATTTGCTTATCTTTTATTGTCATTCGTGCAGAGTGCAGAACTCACAAGCGAAGCTGTCGAGTACTTGAGGAATATCTATGAGTTGTTTGACAGTGATGGTGTATGTTTCAGTCTGTGCTTTTACCATTAGTGAGGTCTTGAAAGTGTAATTAAACAAGAAAGTGTAATTAACTAATCTTCCGTTCTGTTTTAAGCAATTATATCAGTCACCACAACTAGTTGTAATCTTTCAACGTGCTAAGCAATTCTGAATTCTCTAATTCTTACTGTATGAAAATGTACTGCCAGGATAACAATTTGCGACCTGCAGAACTAGAGGATATTTTCTCTACTGCACCAGAAAGGTACTGTAGTTTTTTAGTAAAATTTCATTATGTTGTTTCCCTTAATAATTTGCAACATGCATTTTCAACTACTGTTGTTTTTCTCTTCATTTGGCTTAAAGAATGGACTAGCATGCTATATCTATAACCAATTAACTCAAGCCCCAACCCTCGTGTCTGCATCCTTCCTCAAATGAGTTTTAACTTTTTGCTGTCAATTTGTAACTATTTGTGTTGCACTGACACTTGGCTTCTCAACTTCAGCCCGTGGGAGGAACCTCCATATAAAGATGCTGCTGAGAAAACTGCTTTGAGTGGGCTATCAGTTAATGCTTTTTTGTCAGAGGTATCTCTCTCCCTCCTGCCCCCCTTCCCCCTGTGTGTGAGAGAGAGTGAGTGAGGTTGGCTTTCCTCTTTTCCTTCTGAACAATCCTTTTTTGGGTGTCTCATGCCTGTGAGATATGATATATGGTCTAAAGAGTTAAAGAGTGTGTAAGATATGTGACAGACATATCTGATGGAATTTGCTAATCAATCTAACAGATTTTTTTTTACTAAAATAGTTCCAGTTGAATGTTTGGAATACTAATTTCTTGATAAGTGTGTATGCTTACTAACAAATATATATTCTAGTGGGCCCTTATGACTCTTCTAGATCCATCTAGAGCTGTGGAGAATCTGATCTACATTGGATACTCCGGTGATCCTACTGCTGCTGTTCGCTTGACAAGGAGAAGACGGTTAGATCGCAAGAAGCAACAGTCAGACAGAAATGTTTTCCATTGCTTTGTCTTTGGACCAAAAAAGTCTGGAAAGTCTGCATTAGTGAATTCTTTTATTGGAAGGTTCAACTCAACCCATCTCTTAGAAACTCATATAAATTATATTTATTTTTGTCTGTATTCTTCCTGGTTATTGTGTTTTTTTAATTAATATAAGCTTGTTAATTTTATATTCAGACCGTTTTATGATAATTATGCTCCAACCACTGAGGAAAGCTACGCAGTTCATGTCGTTGATCTACCTGGTGTAAGTGCTATTGCAGTTGTCAGAATATGTTTTTGGTTCATACTTTGGATTATTTACATTGCCTAATCACACTGCAGCTCATTTTTTGTTCCAATTGAATCTGTTGCTCTCTTTGTTCACAGGGAATCAAGAAAACCCTTGTGTTGAGAGAGATTCCTGAGGATGGGGTTAAGAAACTATTATTGAACAAGGAGTCTTTGGCACCATGTGACATAGCAGTGTTTGTTTATGACAGGTAACAGAACGGTGTCTGTTGAATTCAGTTCAGTCACCTCTTTTAAGGGAACATTTCTTAATTTTATGGTATGGGAATTCAATAGTTTGTTTCACGTGAGTTTGCTTGTCCAAATTACTTACTAGCTTGCCATATATGGGTTATTGATTGCATATATTAAATTTTTGTATATGTGAATGAAAAGCTTTTTTTAAAAAAAAAAATCATAAGCTGATGATGCCTTCATGGCTGCCTAATAGGAGAAAATGCCTTCCAACATAGCTAGGAACCTTGACCAAAGGTTTTTAAAGGCTGAGAATGTAATGTGACCCTGTTGCTTTGGAATGTCATTAAGAATTAAATTCAATCCATTTAAGGTATCAAATGCTATTGCAGTTCTGATCAGTCCTCATGGAAGAGAGCAACTGAATTGCTTGTGGAAGTTGCCGGCCATGGTGAGGATACTGGATATGAGGTGCCTTGCCTAATTGTTGCAGCTAAAGATGATCTGAACTCATTTCCAATGGCAATACAGGAATCTACCAGGGTATTTACTAAGCTGATTTTCCCATGGTGGTAGATTTAAGTACAGCAGATGACTTTTATTAAATTTTTTATCATGAAATTTCTGTCTACGTTTTTGTTTCAAAACCTTTTGCTTCATTATAAATTTGCAGATTTCTCTAGTTTGGTTGACAATTTATGACTAGCTAATAATGCTCTGTGACTATTCAGGCCTTGTTCTTCACATTTAGAATATTAGTTGCGTGTTAGTGAGTATCAATTACAAGGTGCCTGCTTGCCTGCTGGGCAGTAATTCCCCCTTCATTGTTCTCTCTCCTTTTCCAGGCACTAGACTCTTTGAAGATTTTTCTGCAGTCCTTTTTGGGATCTAAAAGTGATTGGATGGACTATTGATTCTGAAACTATAACAGTGTCTTTAATTGTAAGTTTTTGAGTTTGCAGGTTAGTCAGGATATGGGAATAGAGGCTCCTATCCCCATCAGCTCAAAGATGGGTGACACCAATAATGTGTTTCGTAGGATTGTAACTGCAGCCGAGCACCCACATTTGAGCATTCCTGAAACTGAAGCAGGGAGAAGTCGCAAGCAATACAATCGACTCATCAACCGCTCTCTTATGTTTGTTTCAGGTATGTTGGCCTTTGGAACTCCTAGAATTGCTCGCACTTGAAGAATGTAAGGTTGCTCGGTTTTAAATATCTCTCCCTGGGTATTGTGCATTTTCAGTTACTTTCTCATAGCAATCATGTTTTGCATGTAAACTCTTTTAACTTTATTTTCTTACTCTGGCTTGGATGTTACAGAAAATGAGCTTATTGTGTTCTAGGAACTGTGCAGCCATTCCTCTTTATCTTAGGATGTTCAGCAATTATGTTTGGTGTCAATGCTAAAAGTCTATGGGGATGACATAATTATTTCCAACTTGTTTTATTTACCGAGACTGACTTAAAGGATTTTGATGCAACTGCCAGGAGTTAATTGAACTCAGGATGGCCATATTAGCAGACATTCAAAATATTTTGTTTAACGACTCCAAATCATCTAAATATCAGTGTCTTTTGGTACTTGTTTTAGATTATGGCTTCATATTTCATCTTACTGCAGGTCTTTGCTGGATAAAAATCAATTCATTGCTGTTAAATGAAATCCTCTCACTTGTCTGTCTTGTTAGTCATCTACCGTATTAATAATTTTGTTTCACCATTCCAGTTGGAGCTACGGTGGCCATTGTTGGACTAGCAGCATACCGAGTCTATGCTGCAAGAAGGAACTCATCTGGTTGAAGAACGAAGATCCACCCATCAACGAGATGCAAGTCATAGTCTCATCTAGTATGTCATTTTGGTTGTATAACTGGCCTGTAGAGAATTATTTCATAGACCTATTTGTTCTTTTGATTTGCCTTCCAACTCTTTCGCCGTCCAATAGGGTGTCTATTGGTCCCAATGGAAGAGTTTTAATTATTAAAAAAAAGCAACAGATATACCATGAAAACTCAGTTATTGTGCAGGGCTTGTACAATAATAAAAATTTTGCTACAGATTTTTATGATATGACTACTGTCATTATATTTTCTGGCTTGGACACCATGTGCTAAATGATGGTGAGATTTTTTTTGCTATTTGCAGATCAGGAAACCTTCACATTCCATGTATAGTTATGTACTCAGTTCCATGCTAAATTGTTCTTGCTTAGCAGAAGAAAAGAGTGCTTTCACCATGGTTTTGTTGCTGTAACCTGCAATTCTGGCAGCATGATTCCTCTCATCTTTGTCTTGCTGGCCGCCTTCGAGGCCACAAGCTTGGATCGGCCTGGCCATTCTGGTACTTCCCACTTTCATTTTCCAGTTTCAAGCAGCAGTTCATGAATACTTCGGCTGTAACATGGAGCCTAAAATCCAAATTGAACAAGAATTTCATCTCCATTCTATTCATTTCTGCAGTGCTTACACCTCCAATCCTGGCATAATAGGCATTGTCATAGCACCTGCAAGATTGAGTGGATTATAGATCAAATTTCAATGGTGTTTCAAGATAAGCTTGCATGAACAATCTGCCGAAACTATACCGCTGGTATGATTAGTAAGAAAACAACGAGTCTCAAACACGTTCCAGATTTGTTTCAAAAACGTTCGACGGATTAGCTGTTCTGACCATGACACTGTTATTTTTTTAATTTTGGATCAAATGGACAAAACGAAGCTCAAGAAGAAGCCCGTCATGTCAACACGGTTTTCTAACATAATCGACCATGTTTGATAATAATAATAATAATAATAATAATAATAACTGACCATGATCGATCAAGATTATGATCTATCCTATTTAAACATGGAGCCAATGACATTTCAAGAGATAAAGAAGCTAAACAATCACGAAAGATACTTATGGAGGACTGGCTAAAGACATGACCCCAAATGACAAGCAATGATTTTCAGCTACAGTGAATATTAAAACACAATTGGTTTAATCATGCAGGTACTCACTCATCATCCAAGAACTTTGCAGCTACCATGATGCTTGTGATCAGAAGACGGTGTACATTCAGGGAGGTAAGATAGGCATCCGTTTGCTGAAGGAACTTGTTGATGTATATATAGGCAACAACAAAGCAAGAAGTGCTGCACCTCGAGTACCTGAATATGCGGTCGATGTACTGTGTAATGCTCAAGGTGGGAGATCTTGAGCCATGGAAGATGGTAATAGCATCTTTTCTTCTTGACGTGGTTGACTGCTTTTCGTTCTTTTGAAGGGATTTCTCGAGAACAGATGCAATAAGCACGAGCACCCGTGGGGTTCCCGAAACTCCTCTACCGGATTCATCTGATAGACCCAAAGCCATGAAAGTTTCTGATTCAGCAGCCATACCTTTGGCGCCAGACTTGAATCAAAGCTGCAAATATGTATACTTGCATTAGTGAAAATAGAGAAGGCAAAACCATGGAACTAATACTACGTACTGTCTGATTCCTACAAATGACTGAAAATCACACTGTAAGGATTAGGGTTCGACCTTATCTGAGCTAGCTTCTCTGTCTGAAAACTACTCTGACAAGAACATTGCCATCGCCAAAATTAACCAGGGATAAAGAGGAAGTGCATCTTTTTCCAAGCTATTCTTTCCTTCCAGATAAAGTTTACACGGAACATACTGATGTGACCTTTGAAATTAAAGACTATTCCAAGTGGGCCAATTGGGACAATTATTCAAGCCTTTACATTGCAGCACTACATAAGTTTCTCAAAGACAAGTAGCAGAAAAGGAATACTCTGCCATCATGCACTAATTAAGGTGCATACATGTGCTGCACACAAGTAGAAGAAACACAGAACATCGATGTAGATTCCAGGTACTATAGTAGGAGAACCAAGATAAAGTTTCAGGCACAGCCCATGTCAAGCATGGATAACTTTTTGTAAAGCTGGTCTTGACTTACTGCTCGTTGAAGGAGATGAATCGCCTTGGAGTTCTTAGTTTCTTATTTGATGATTAGAGGGGTTTTTTTTTTTGACATATCACAAGTGCCCTCAGCTAATTTTGACATTACGAGTTAGCTTTTTTTTATTTTACTTAGCTATAAATCATAGTTTTCAAATCCATTTTAGGATTTGATTTTAAAAATTAAACTCAGGTTATTGAATTACCACATCAATATAAATCATTTTATTAATCATTAAGACTTTGTTTAGGTTTTTTTTTTTTTAATTCCTTAATATTGACTCGATAAAGTTTAGATTGAGTTTGACTAATCAATGAGGTTATAGACCAATCTATCAAATAAATTAAGTTTTCATTAGATTAGTCAGATTAATATTTTTTTTATTCAAATTAAGATTTTTTTTGTATTAAACTTCAGATCACAAGTTTTTCAAATTACACAATTAATCAAATTGGATTTAATAACTATGATTAACACCCTCCAAAATTGGTATTACTTAGATTTAAGTGACTACCACAACATTGTATGATAACATGTTTACAAAGCAAGAATAATAACCAGAATGCTTGTTGCATGAACTAGAGACTGAAATCTTCAAATATGACTTGAGGATAGAGCATAGTTATCCAACCTGTTTTGTCCAAAGCCATGAACACATATTAAATTTGCTTCACGCCCCTCTTCCAATCTTATGTTCATGCACATAAGCTTTTGGAAAACCAACTTGGGGTTCTAATTAATCAAATGGTGACTAAAGAAAGATGAAGAAATTGAGAGATGTATTTATACTCAAAGATTAGCCTTCAACATAATTAGAATAGTGGAATCTCTCATGTCATGGTGGCCAAATTCTTTTAACACCAACATTGTTGTTTTCATACGACAAATTGACATCTCAGCAGACGTGGACAGCATAAAATCCAGTCGAAATTGTGGGAGGATGTCCTTGCGTGCTTCTCTTACAATTTCGTTGAAGCCTGCAGCGTGGAGGAGCTTGCAGTCAGTTTGAAGTAGTCTCGAGGTAATTTTTTCTTATAGCCATGAAAAGGGAGGTGTGATTGAGTTTGTCATTTATATCTCTATTTTCAGAGAGAAAGATGTGCTTAAAACTTTGTAAATCTAACTAGAATTACATATAAATTTGAGATATATGTATATATATAGTAATTTGAAAGAAATCAGCAAGAAATTAACACCAAGCAGTGTGTGTATACTATAGGGTGAACCTATCAGTGGGCAAAGAAATCATTGATCTCTCCTTCAGTAGTTGAAGATTAAAATTTCTGCAATCCAATCTCTCATCTGCGAGGAAAAGGAGGCTTCACTTATATGAGAGTTGCTAATTAAGCATGGCTGCTGACAATGCAATCTATGTGATACTTGAGACGTAAGATAAACACTAACATTTGCTTTTTAACTCGTGCTACGACAGGGATCAAATTTTATTTTCTAATAATAATAAAAAAAATGAAGATATTAGAAACATGCTAGATGACGTTCTTTTAAAATATAAAAATATATTACTTTTCAGTTTTTAAAGTGAAATAATACTCGAGTTAGGTTTTTTCCCATCAAATATAATTTAATATTGATTTTTTGAATCAATAAAAATTAACTTTTTTGTTTATAACTGGAATCGAGAAATCTGTCTTATCTTTATTTTTTTATTTAGTGATTAAAAAATAAAAAATAAAAATTTATATCAATTTTTTATTTTTTCTTAAATATTGAGGGGCTGAAATATTTTCATTTAAAATCAAATGTGGGTACTATTCACTCTAGTTTGGTGTACGTAGCCTTCAAGGAGTCCTTATTCCTTATAAGGGAGTCACCGGATTCCAGGGGCGGAGCAAGAAAAAAAAATTAAGGGGTCAAATTAAAAAATAAAAAAATTAAATTAAATTTTTAATTATTTTTATAATATT